ATCTGGCATACACCATTTAAATGAGGATTACCACAGGCGTTTCCGCATAATCTATTTAATTCATCCTCTAGCGTCTTGCCTCAAAGCAATGGATAGCGTTTCCGCCTTAATGCCGTTTTGACATATACACTAAATTAGTGGGATATCTGTTTTGTATGCTGTGTTTAATGTCATAAATCATGCTGGACTCCTTTCAAGCCGCCGTTCGCAAAATGTTTTGTTAGTGCTGTTGTACAGCCGGGTCTCGGACGAAAAAGCGCTGATGATAATTTGTCAGGCGAACATGGAGGTTTGCCTGCCGCTTGATTTGGTAAACGGCTGAAATATGTTCCACACTTTTCTTTTATGGGAATCGGGTGGCTACAGACGCACTGAAAGACAGTACGAATCGTGAAAACACGTCATATGTGTAGATTTGCTTGCGATTAAGATATGACTTCTGCAGTATTGCATGACGCTTAGCAGAAATCCGATGCACTGTTTCAAATGAATAAATATTACCAAGTTAAATGGCAACTGTTCAAGCTTTGTAAGTTTTAGCTGACAATTGTAGCAACCACTCCATGCATTGTTTTACGATCTGCGGGCCTTCCACCTGCATTTAGAGAAAACATTAAAGCGTAACAGATGATAGAACACGAGCTATTCGGGAGCAGATTATGTGTGATGCTGTTGTAAGTTTGCCAGATGTCTGCGCCTTTTATAGGGAAGTTTTAAACTTCAGTTAAGCATGAAGGAGGAAAGTTCCTCCGCTTCAGGCGTTAAGTTAGCATTAGTAGTTATTTTTCAAGTCTACGACAGTTGTCGCGACAGTGTCTTCATTCATAATCAAGAACGTGTATCTCAAGGGCATTGCTCTGACAAGAGGTATTCATTCAGTTCTCGAACCATGACGTGTGAGACGACGCCAATCAAGGGTAATTCGATGTCCCGCCTAATTTGCTGGGTTCCCTCATTTCTCAAACACCTCGAATCCTGACTTAAACAATGGTCGACAATGAAGAATGTACGTGGTAAGTTACAGTTCAACTAACGAAAACAAATCACATTTCCTGAGTATGAACCCCTGACTGTCAGTATCCGAAAAGGCAGCCATCGCTCACACGTTAGTGATGAGGCCAGAAACAAAGCTTTACACAGGCCTCTATCTGATATTCCCTTTCTAAACGGTTTTTAAAACAACGTTCAGTCAAGGTTGCTAAAGACGTATAGTACATTCTAATCTGTCCTTAAATGATTCTGTTATTCAGAGTCTGCATTCAAGCGCGTAGTCGCGGAATGCTAACTTCCAACGTGTCTTGCAACCAAGTTTTGACTTTTTCATCTTGAGCCCATTTATAGGAAAACTTGCCACTCTCTGGAGTCATACTGATAAATCTAAAGTTACAATTTTATGTCGTGTTCTGTGGTAACCTCGTGCATGACGGGCTGAATCTATTTCAGATTGCATATTGATGCCCTGGTCAAAAGACGCACCCTTCCATTTTGTCGGTTGTTTTCAAGTCTCTCAAACAAAGACGGCGACGTTTTAGAACCGGTAGGTATCTTTATGTTAGGTTTCAGGTACTTGCTTGACAATTTAACATGCGCTTTAGATCGACCTGCCACTCGCATGTACTATACCCCTTTCGCAAGAACTTCCTGGACTGAAACAGTCGCCTTCAGGAAGCAGCATCGTTGCTCCTCTTTTCGAGGCCAACCTCACTCAGCTAGGTAGTGGTATGCGAATTGCGTCTGAACCGAGCTACGGCGAATTCTGCACCATTGGCGGTGAGTTTGCG